AATTCTATATTCCATTTACAAAACACTATTTCACTTGTTATATCTATTTTGGTTATTTTTAATTCAATTGTCAAACACATTACAAACTTTAATAAATAGCTCATTTTTAATTCATTAAAAATTCTGAAAATATACGGTCAAATATACGCTTACCTTCAAAACTAGAACATTTTCGTTTCACACTATTTTATAAACATTACAAATTTAAAACTCTAGAAAAATTTGAACTTTATCGTATATCATTGAATTTTTCATTTTTTCGATCACAAATATAATTTCTTACGTATTCAATATTGTTTTTTATATGTTTCAAATTTAATCATCTAATCTCTGTTTTTTCTATTTGTCTTTAAAAAATCAAGTTTTTAATTTTTTAATCTTAACCATAATTTTTAAAAAAAAAAATGTATTTGAAATGATACCAAATTTTGTATGTTCTAAATATTCACCAAATATGGTTTTGTTAACAAAAAAGTTGCCAAAACTCAACATAATACTATGCTTCGAAATATGAAGTCTAAAAACTGAGTTGCAAAAAAAATAAAATTGAAAATACATTTATCTAGAGAAAATTAAGTAGTAGTTACCAAAATTTAGGATACTATTACCAACCAAATCTTATTTGATTAGATTAAAATCAAATTTTACGGAAATGGAAAATAAAATCTAATAAGCTAACCAAATAACTACTTACTTTTAATGTTTGCAATATTCACTTACTTTTATAATTACTTTAAAGGGGAAATTACAAAAATACTACTTTTATGTGCACATTTGCAAAAATGCCACTTATGAGTGTAGGGGTCATATTTCACCTCTGTGAGATCGATATAGCGACGAGATCAACTCCGCAATATCCCGACGAAATCACGACGAATCTACGAAGGATCAGCCTGAATCTGGGCCCAAAATGACATTAAACCCATGAGCAAAATGGGCTTAATAGAATAATAGGCCTAAATTAGATTTATTGTTTAATGGGCCAGGTCCATTTTATTAGCTGGCCCATTTTAGGTGTTTTCACTATATATAGCTCTTCATTCTCACCCGAAAGGGGGATGGAGATTCATAAGCAAAAACTCTTGTAACAGCTTTCTTCACAGCTAATAAAAACTCTCTTGAGATCTTTCAGTTGCTTGCTTTCGACAGAACTTTACAAACCCTAAAGAATCACTTAGATTCTAATTGTGAGATTCGACCGCCACAATGAGTGTTCATTTGCAAAAATGCTACTAATTATAGTTTTTTAAACCATATATCTTAAAATTCTAAACACTATAAATTGTTTTGACCCCTAAATCCTCCTAAACATAAATAATATAATTTTTTTTTTTTGAAAAAGTGGTAGTTTTTGTAAAGATTTCAAAAGTATAACATTTTTGTAAAGTGGCATTTGAAAAGTTGCATTTTTTGAAATTTCTCTATTTTAAACCTATAAAATTGAATTCATATTTGTAATATTTTATTTTATATATTTGAGTCATAAACGTATTTTTGAAGATTATGATATTAAATAAACATATTTCATTAATAAGTGATATATATTAACTAAAAACTAAAAAATTATTATTTTCAATTATTTTACGGATGGAATACATTTGTATACAAAATAATTGCAAAATTTATATAGAAACGAGTTTTAGATTTTGTATCATAATTTTTCCAATAACTATAGATAATTTTTTAAACTAAACTATATTAATTTTATTCGCATATCATATTATTTCGCGTATAACGCGGGTACTATCTTAGTATAAAGTTAAAGTGTAAACAATTTATTGTAATTTGTTAATGGATTATTTGGTTCAATAACCATAAAAAAAATTCTAGTTTATAGAAATTCTAGTATCTTTAGGGTTGTAGATTTATGTAGTGTAAATAGAACTATTTGTATTTGATCAAACTTAATTCAAAATCAAAACATATTCAAACATTTACATACTTTGTACCAATTCATAACCCGAAAATAAATAAGAAAATGCAGGCTTGTCTTGTCAGTAACTATCAACAGTAGATGCGTGATTTTTTAGACAAGCATCGCCACATATCCCACCAATATTTGTCCAATCTCTAATCAATTTTTACAAAATTTTTATTATTTACCCATTTTATTATCTACCTAACGCATACTATACGTGGCTCGTGAGTTGTGTGACTTGCCATTTAATTCGGTTCTTACACTGGAGCTTCGACCAAGCACCCCCCCGGTCAATTCCGGCCCCTTAGCCGATACAGTTACCATGCTTACCAGGCACCTATTAGCTTTAGTAGCCCCTTACGGAATGAAAGGAAGGAAGTACGGTAGCCGGCTCAGTCTCATACTCCCGTGAAGAGGGCTGGACGAGTGGAATGAGGGAGAGCGGCTCGATCGAGAAAAAAAAGAAGAGTAGCCCCCCCTAGACATCAGGTCCGAGCGGAAAAAGTTTTAAACCGAAATTGAATTTAGTTTGAATTTGTCCCGGTCTATTCCGGTTCGTTTCGAACCGGTTCAATTATGTTTTTTATCCTCTCTCGATCACTGTTTCGATTTCCCTGATTTCGTCTCTGCGAAGCGATTTCGAAAAAGCACGAAAATGGTGTTCACACGACGACCATTCACTCTCCTCTGCTTCGTCTTCTCAATCTTCCTCTCCGTTTCCGAATCGAAACTCTTAGAACCTCACGCCGCTGAATCTTTCAATGTCAGCCTCATCCAGGTTCGTTCTCTTTCATCTGTGAACGTCCTCCGGAGAAATCCCGAGGGGTTTTCTTCCTGTTCCGGTGTAGGATTTCCCCGATAAACTTGTGATTTTCGTTGTGTGGTTGTTAAATTTTCCTCGATGATGCAGAAATTGGGGACTAGTTGTTCTTACTCGGTGATTATATCGACGAGCTGTTCGTCATCGAGGTACACGCGTGACCAGATCAGCATAGCTTTCGGCGATGGATACGGAAACCAGGTTTGATTTCTTCAGAACATTTGATTTGGTTTTGTAAATACTTTTGAATCGAAGACTTGGTTTATCGATTGGCTTAGGGTTTTCATTTGACAGTGAGTTTGATCAGATTTTATGTTTGTAGCATCTCTCATCTTTGGTTTCATTAGATTTTTCTAGTATGGCTTGGTCTGTTCTTGATGGCTATATAGATACGGAATATGCATAACATTTTTCACTGGTATGGAAGAAATCTAGCAAGTAGCAACCAAAGTTGCAGATACTTTAAGATGTTCTTGTTCTCATTGTATCTCCCTAAATTCTCTGGTTGATCTGTACAGCTCCATGTTTTACACTCCCGGTTACAGAAACATCGACTCCAAATCGATTATTTATCTGGAGTCTAAAGTTCTATTATTGGAACATTTTTGAGTCTTTAGAATAGATGGAAGTTTTAATGGACTAGTGTCATCGTATCTGTCACTAATAACCGTAAATGATGTTCCACTCACAGCTTGGGTTTTGTTTTCGTGGAACAGATATATGCGCCAAGGCTTGATGATCCATCTACAAAGACGTTTGAGCAATGTTCATCAGATACATTTGAGATAAACGGACCATGTACATACCAAATATGCTATGTGTATCTCTACAGGTCTGGTCCTGATGGTTGGATCCCAGATAGTGTGAAGATATATAGCCATGGTTCCAAAGCGGTCACTTTCCCGTATAACACGCATGTCCCTGAAAGTGTATGGTATGGTTTCAATTACTGCAACAGCGCCTCGGATTCTAAAGTCTTGGCTATTGGTCTCAGAAGGATCATGCTCATACTCGTAGGGTTCTTTGTCGCCGGCTCGACATTGCTCTTGTAAAACTGTTATGGTTCGGTTTTTCATGTCGGTTTTGTGTGAACATATTAGGACTTATGCTGAATAAATGTGTACCGTTCTCTCAGATCTGTATTAACTATGAAGCTATGATGAAGTTACCACTGCTAACTATAAAGCGTGTAGATTTTCTTATAAACAGTATATTTTCATTAGAAATTTGTGACAATTCATCAACAATATTGGTTAAAATGTAGAAATGTGTGAGAAAATCAAATTGGCTTTGGTTTTAAACCAAACTTAAAACCGGAGCAGTTTAACTTATAAATTAGATCACAAGGCAATTGAAATACATTTCTTCTTTTGATTCTATTAAATTTAGCGTTTTCAAACTTCTGATTTTCCATAAAACCAAGCATACTTTCTTCTTTAATTTTTTGGGGGGGTCACATATGTCTTGTAGTATTTGTTTAATTTTCATTTTGTTGGAAAAATGAAGAGAAGTTTACTGTTTAAAATTGTGCGGAAATGCTTTTTAGATGATCAGTTCTAGATTCGGCACAAAACCGCTTATGTGTTGTTAAAGAAATCCGCTTTCATTTCTATGTCAATGAGTAAATGATTTTTAGTTTCTCTTTTTTGTCTACTTTGTTGTTTTCCTTTCATGCTGCAATCCCCCAATTCCAAATCAATAAAGAAAAATTTGCATATATAATCAACCAAATCTATAACTACAAAACTAATCATTTGCTCTCTATTTAAAGGCTATGATTTAACCACATAGGACAAATTTTGTTAG